ACCAAGGGTAGGTAGGCTCTGTTCCACTGATTCAGCTTGAGTAGTTACTGGGTCAATTATCTCTGTATGGACATCATTATCATGTACTGTATGCAGAGTGTCTTTGCCAATCACAGTTTCTTTCTCATCGACTTGACATACGCCAAGTCAAGAAGAGATACAGTTGATTCACAGCCATCAGGATGGGTGTAAGTAGGGTTAACATTGGTTAGTTCAACTTTGTCAACTAGAGGATTACTTGCTAGACCTGACGAATCTTCTAAGTAGCACTGGGTCGGGAAGCTAGCCATAAAGGTAGAGAATTGCCAAGAGAAGAACGTCACTGGAATCCAAAGAATCGGTCATGAGGTGTAATATTTGTAGATGTTAAGGGAAGTGATCTGGTGGAGTGCAATGCTTCCGGTCGTACAGCTTCCCAGTTCTGGTCCAGTAGATCATGTGACGTCAGGGCAAGATGAACAGCCTTCCAAATAATAGCATTGTACCTTGGGATAGTAAGGTGTTGTTTTGCTTGTTACTATCCCCTTGTGGGAAAGATTGTCTGAGTTCACATGACATACCACAGAGGGCAAATACCTGGTCAAGACATTTGATTACAGTTGAAGAGTGCATATTTGGGTAAGGAACTGCAAATGGGAAATGTGAATACCCATCAATCATGGTGAGTATGTATGTGTTCTGTGTTGAGGAAGGGAGTGGTCCTTTAAAGTCTATACCGAGTCATTCCAAGGGTTGTGTAGCCTTAACAATTACAAGGTGAGCACACTAGGGTGATAAGTTTGGTTCCAAGATGCCTTTTGAGAGCAGCTGGGAGGTTTCTTTCTGGATGAAATCTAGATCATGTTTGCTGAAGCGCCTTGATTTAGTTGCTATTGGCTTACATTTTGGAGAGGATTAGCAAAAAGTGAAGGTTCATCAATAGCAGCTGCTGAGAGTGCACAAAATGAGCTTTGATTGCTGATAGTAAGGTCTGGTTCTGATCCTCCAAATTAAATAGTTCTCTTTATGTTGCTTTTGAAAATCTTGTCCCAGAATTATATCACTACATAAGTCCTTGAGAATCCCAAGATGTGTAGATGGATAAGCATGACCATTGAGGGTTATATCTATGAGAGAGAAGCCGGGAAAACTGGTATTCAGCATTGTCAATGCCATTGATATTTCCTTGTTGGTTGGATAGACTCAGATTTAACTTTCTTGCAGCTTGTTCACTAATAAAGCTGTCAGAACTGTGCGAATCAATCGAGGCATTCAAGTTTTGTCCTTTGATTGAAACCACAGTTGCTGCATGTGACAGACTTTGGAGAAATGCAGCTGTGATGGCCAGAAGAGCAGGTTTGAACATGGTTGCTGTGGTACTAGTGGTTGTTTTAGATTGACGCACTTTTGCGAAATGCCCCTTCTTACCGCAGTTGTTGCATGATGCATCTCGTGCATGACAAAATTTTCGGTTATGGAATACATCATAAATATAGCACTTTCTTGGGTGTGTAAGTTGCAGCTACTGTAGTTTTTTCTTGAGCTACTACATCAGTCTTGAGTTGACTCAGCAGCTGTTATGGCAACAGTGTGTGCAATTGGGGAAGCATAAGCATCAGAATTCTTTGGAGCCAAGTCCAGATTATATGCACTTTGCAAATCAAACGTCTTATTTTCCAGTAGTCGTTGCCATATAAGAGGAGAAGCAATACCGTTGATGAAGGAATCACTGATCAACTCTTCACGATATTGTTCTCGAGTGACAGCTTTCAGATTGCTTTTGAAGTTCTTGAAGGAATTCATCGAGAGATTCTCCAGGTTGTTGTGGTCTGGCTGCTAGTAGGTGGCGAGCAAAACACTGTTAACAAGAGTTTGGAATTTATCAGGTGCATTTTCACCACACACTGCGATGAAATTTGTGAATGTATGAAACCAGTGTTTCCTCTCTTTAGCAGCTGTGGGAGAGTTGGGATCCAGATCCAGGCGTGTAGATCTAAGTAGCTTTTCCATGATGGTTGATCACTATGACGAACAGGAGTTGATTAAATTGATGTGGGATGAAGTAAACTTGGTAGTGTGGCTTGATTAGTTTATTAACTTGGTATCATATTGATGGGGGAAATTATCTAAACACCAATTGTAAGTACAGTACAGCTATTTATTATTCACTCAATGGCATGGACTCATTAAAAGATCAATATACAGAAGTTACTAGACAATGACTCGGACACAAACATAAAATGGATACCACTGAGGCAGGTTAAGTGCAAATGGTTGTAAGTCGAGAAGGTCATAAGTCGGGAAGGAGCTGTAGTCTGGTTTTACGCTGTTAATTAAACCCAGGGAGGTCCGCGTATAAAGTGAAACGCGTAAATAAAATAATAGAGCCTATGGGATTAATTGAGATAGAGACTGGGCCGGCCGCCAGAATACCCTTTTTTGGCTATCGCCGACACAATACGTACACTGTAGTAAAAATAACATCTTAATTTTATGATGGTATGCACACACACAATTAATATACTGTATAAGAGAAATATCAATAATATTAGGTTTTTTAACACTTACATTAGTAGAAGAGTTGGCTGGGCACACGGGGATGGGGCAGATTATTGGCCCTTACCTGTCTCTCTATCCACCACAGAGGCTAGCTAGCAGGGCCTCCTCGTCAAACCCCTCGAAGTCCACATCCTCACTATCACTGACTTGGGCTGGCTGTGGTGGTTGGTGGGTGAAGAACTCGGTGATGTTTTGTTGACGGCTAGCATTGATGTGGTCGTGATACAGCTGAACATAGGGCTCCTGGCATTTCAACAGATGGTTATTAGACACTTCGTAGCGATGATTGACTGGGTCTTTGGCAAGGATGAGCTTCATTCTCTCGGCTAACTCGATGGCTTACTTCACATCAGCATGTGTGTTAGTTTCTGCTCTTGTTGTTCTGTAACACCTGGCTGCTCACTGATGTCATCATCTTCCAACATCTCGTCCGCAGTCACCTCAGGTTGCCTGATTACCTCCAGGATGTCCTCGTTGGTGGTCTCGGAGAAGCCTGCAGCTCTAACACTTTGTGCAGCCTCTCTTGCATTCTCCAATGCCACAGCAACAGACTGAGCCTCACCAGCCACCGCTTGCCTCTGCCTTCCACCTGGGATACCCTCCAACACATGCAGCCACGCGTGACGAATCGTTGCCACAGATAGCTGCCCCCATGCCTCCACCAAAAAATCAACAGCCTTCTTCACGTTAAACAGCTTCCAGAACTGCTTGACCCACACTTCATGGTCCGCCAAATCTTGTTCATGTTCCTCGTCCTTGCTCTCGCTATCGGTGCCACTCTTTAGGTTATGCAGTTCATCCTTGGTGTTGGTGAAGTTGTTCACCAAGCAGCCTTCACGTTGCAAATCAACTCCTGATCCATGGGCTGGATTAATGATGTAGTGTTAGAGAGAAGGAAGACCACTTTTACGTTGGGGTGACTATCCAGCAAAAGGGGCGAGTGTCCTGGTGCGTTGTCGAGGAGCAACAAAATGTTGAATGGCACATAATTTTCCTCGCAGAATTTCTTGATATCAGGAACGAGACAGTTGTCAAACCAGGAGAGGGACAGACCAGAGAACATCCACACCTTCCGTGAGGTTAGCCAGTGGACATATAACTTGCTCATGTCCATATTCTTGTAGGCATGCGGCTTGCGGGCTTTGTGAATCACAGACAACTTCAGCTTAGCAGTGCCGGAGGCATTGGTGGTGAACAGTATGGTGATGCGCTCCTTCTACACTTTGCGTCCCCGACACTTGCTCGCAGACTTGACTACGAAGGTCTTGGATGGCAATTTCTTCCAGTACAACCCTGATTCATCCATATTGAACACTTGGTCATCGGTGTACTGGCCTTCCTCCATAATTTTCTGTAAAAATGGGGAAAAATTCATGGCGGCAGCCCGGTCGGCGCTTGCTCCTTCTCCGACTATCTCAATATTGGTGATCTTGTTGCGTCGTTTAAAACCTTGTAGCCACCCAGCGGAAGCAGTGAAGGGCTTTGGCTCTGCAACTCACATTTTTCTTGCTACTGCTGCATAGAGTTCCCGGGCGTAGTCCTTCAGTGCCCGAGTGTCGACCGCCATATTCCTTCTTGACTGACGAATAATGTAGCTTACTAACAAGCACTCGCTCTTCAGCAGCACCTTATTGTGGCAATATTTCACCAGTGAGGCACCTACAGACTTGGTAATGTTCCTGTGTTCATTGATTTTGCTGGCTCGTTGATTCATTCACTCCATATTTTCTGGCCAGATCCACCTGTCTCGTGCCTTTTTCTAACTCCTGGACGATCTTGTACTTTACCTCATAGCTTAAGGCGTGTCACTCCTTGGGCTTGAGGCGGTTTGGACCAGGTAGTTCAGGGCTTCTCGGGGGTGGTGGGGGTCCAGCGGAAGCCATTGTGTAGAAAGAAAAACAAAACCGGTTCCTGGGCACGAGTGAATATACGTGGGGACAGTGAGACTGGCGCGGCAATGGTGGGGAGCGTGGGTGGTTGGGGTGGCAAGGATAGCAAGACCAATCACAGCGTGCGGTGGAGGGGGTGCGTGGGTGGTAAGGATAAGTGGCCCAATCACAGTCCGCGACACAGCAATGACATCAGCACCTTGCCCCACTGCTTACCAAGTATATGATGGCATTTACCGCATAAATAATAATAATCGCTTCTGGACAGGTGCCATGTAAATGGCCATCTGCTTATAAAATATCCGTGTAAACCCAGACTATACTGTACGGTACATGTAAATCTTGGATTTGGTGAATTGTTGTGTGAAATCCATGATATTCCACTGACAACAAGCCTATTTCTCATTGAATTCACACAGAAATCCATCATCCGTATGTCCGAATTTGTTTCGGTTTCTGTAGGACAAGCCGTTACCAGTTTATTTACAAGTTAATAATACGTCATGAAAATATACAAAATGGTTTCCATAAATTTATTAAAAGATTCTAAAGATGTCATTTTAATTTTTTCAGATTGTTCATGCAGTCCACAGTGCTGTAAAGAACCTGAAGGTATCCGAGGCAGATGTTGCTCGGGGTAAGAACCAGGCGAAGGCTGCAATCCTAATGGCAACAGAGTCTGGAGGTCAGTGTTGGAAAGCTTGGTTTTTAGAAATGAATGTCATTGAAGCCAATACAGTGCTGCATGTTTCACTATTATTTTCTTTTAACCTCATTTTGTTACTAGAATGTATCTTATAAAGGCAATCCTCATTTATCACAAGGATATATACAGTATACTGTCTCTCCTCGACTTAAGATGGGGTTCCGTCCCGTCGACCAGGTCATAAGTCGAAAAAGCGAAAAATATAGAAATTCTAAAATGGAATACAGTACAGTACAGTAAAAGTAATCAATAATGAACAATGAATAAAGTCTTACTGTGAACTTACCTTTAATGTAGTCAGCTGAATGCACACAGGGCCCCAATAATTTTTTAATTAAACATGGAGACTACATTAATTGGGTGAAGCAGAGGAGGAGACAGGGCTGGGGGGTCATCAATTTTGCTTTCTTCAGACAGGCTAACAATACTTGCTTGTTAAAGGTATTGGATGATCTTTAGGGAGTGAAGAGGCAGCTATGGTGGGGCGTGAGGAGACAGCAGTGGGGGACTTCTTAAAATATGTGTCCAATTTAGGCTGCACAGTCTGCTTTTTCTTTTCATTGTAAATCTCCCTGTAGCAAGCATGTGCATCTTGGATCAGTCTGTCTACTTTTGCAAAACGCCTAACATTTTGATCCATTTCTTCAAACATTTGCATCCCCTTATTAATATAGGTATTGAACAAGAGTAGACAATATGGGGGATTGTGCCTGTTATACCAGAATAAAGATTTGTCATTACAGTATTTTAATATTGACTAAAAGGTGGCCTGCTGGTTATGTACTCGTGTATGAACCCAGAAGAGATACTGCTGCATCATTTTAATTGTGTAGTTACAGCCGTTTATTTTTTACCTACTGAGTAAGTAAATAATCGTATTTTTTGCAGTATATCAACAATATTAGTTAATCAATTGTTTTATAGTATAGAGAATACCTACTTGTAATTGCTAAGTAATGAGGTAACAGTCTTTGTAAGGGGCTGATTTCAGTAGACCCTAAGAAAACCTCTGCTACAACCCATCATCTAGTGTCATGGAAGACGCATGGTAATTTTCAAGGTACATTTTTGTAATAAGTGCGTCTTCTATGCCGCAAAATACGATACACATATACTAAAACATTAACCTTTATCTGGTTTTAAAATTGTTAAACATTATATTTTTTTAGAGCTGTACTGTATCTGGAGGTCAGTCTACAAGATGATTCACTCGGTCATAGCTTATTTAAGTGAAAGATTGGTCAAAATAAGCCTTTTAGGAGGTTGAAGACATTCAAGAGGACATGCTACCTGTACACCAAATATTTACTAATACAGTGACCCCTCGGTTAACGAACTCAATCCGTTCCAGAAGGTCGTTCGTTAACCGAAACCATTGTTTCAATGGGTTTTTGGGTAATTGGTTCCAGCTCACCGAAAATTTCCTAAATTCAAAAAAATGGTAGATAAGTTCACTTACTTTGAGGTGTGTATGTAGAAGGCTCCTGGATGATGATGATGATGATGATGATGGGATTTAGAATGGGGGTGGAGGAGAAGGAAGAAGAGAAGTCACCCCATGGCGCCATTTCACCCATGAAATTTTAGCTCTTGGTGTAATTCAAGATTATTTTCTTTAAATCAACACTGCACTGCATTATATACTGTCAATATGTAAAATATATTTCAAAATGACCAATAATTTGCTTGGAAACACAGAAAAAAGCATTTAGTTGAAGAGAGTCTCAAGCAAGATGTTACCTCCAGTGAAAACAGAGAGACTAACGCCTGTTTGCTGTGTTAAGAGGCTGGATGCCGCGCATTAAACTAGTCACTTTACCTTCAATTATGTTCTATAATTGTTAAAATGACTAAAAAATTGAATATTAAACTTTTAAAATTATTGAATAGTATAAACTTCTTGATGTTTACTAAAATAGTAAGGAATTTAAGCCCTAGAACCGATTAATGTATTGGCGGACTAATAATAAAGCTGGTTGCCCGGTCAATGCAAGTGAAAACATGTTGAGGTCGGTTCGTAAGAAATTTGTTAACCGAATTTTTGTTCGTTAACCGAATTGAAGATCCTTATGGAAGGCAGTTCGTTAACCGAGGCGTTCGTTAAACGAGGGGTCACTGTACAGAAATAAGTTCATAAATAAGGGATATACTACACAGTTATTAGCAAAATTCTAGAGCTACTTGTGAGTGAATCATCCTGTACTGTCCAGGCATCTCCAGGTGCCAGGTTATTAACTGGTAGAATTAAGGAGTATTTGACAATGCTCCTAATTAACCTTATCTACATATGGTATAACTGTAGCATCTTCCTCCCAATTGGGGATGAAACTCTTGATGATTACTGTATGATAAAACTACTAGAGGTAAATGGAAAATTGGAGTCTCAAACTCAAGTTTTTTGTCACAAGGAAATACAATGTAAATGATAAATTTCAAAATTTATGGAGTGATTCTTTTCTACAGCGGAGTGTGTGGAAGACATGGGTCTGCAGGCTCTTTTTACTGGCCAGTTTGTTAACCCTGTTGCTGCAACTGCAGCCATTGATGCTGTTACACCTGCTGCAGTGGAAACTGTAAGTCTAGACACACCATTATCTTTAAGCTTTGAAAAAAAAAAAATTTAGTTAGAGAACATTCCTTAGCCAAAAGCATCAAGCTTTTTATTTATACAGTATATTGCAATTTATTTTGAATTTTAACTTTGCTTTGACGAAACAAATATAAAATTGTTTTCTAGACAGTTAGGTGGCTCTCATAAGACCAGTCTTTTTGAGGCATTGTGAGTTACTAATAAAATTTTTGTGCATTGAATGCCTCCTAGTTATGATGCTTTGTTACTGGAACTAAGTTTGGTGAATCAGTACTAGACTGTTTCAAAGCATACTGGCTGCTATCTTGATTTTAAGCTGGTACCCACACCTTCCCCCTCCCCCCCCTTTTTTTTTCACTCATAGCTGACAGTCCAAGAGAATGGTCACAACTCTTCCTTGCTGTACTTAATTTTATGAAAGTTTAGTGCCAACCAAGTTCCACACATAGGGGTCTGTTAGCTGGAGCAACTGCAGTTCTAGGAGTTATATAAAGTAGGCTCAAATTTTAGCATAATAATGCCTCTTAATTACAAATCAGGGATCAATATTTTTTGTGGGTACTGTATGATTTTATTGATGGTGGTCTTACAGAAGTGAATCCTTGTCAAGTTTTCGGGTTTGTAGGAAGTAACGTGTACCTGTTGTAGGTATCTTTATTTTTGGATTAGCTTGGTGAGCTTTGAGAGCCTACAAACCTGACATATTTTAGTACAGTAAAACCTCACTAAGGCAGACCCCACTAAGGCAAACCCTTCTTAAGCTAAAACAAAATTATTTGGGGTGGAGGAAAAAAAAAGAATTTGTTGTAAGATGACATGCTCCCTCACAAATATGTGCTGAATATGGAATTTCTGAGTACTCAAACTCAGAGTAACTGCAAGCCTCTTGCAGTGAGAGGTATGTCCAGGTGGATCTGTCTTCCATTTTTTTGGGAGCAAGTGTACAGTTCTTTGTGTATATTAATTTTTTTTATTAAAAACATGTACAGTACAGTATTTCATTCATAAAAATTGGATACACTGGAGGTGTACTTTTTTTTTCTAAATGGTGACAACTTATCCCAGCCCCCCCCCAATTAGTCTGCCTTTGCGAGGTATTACTCTATCTAAAAATATTTTTAACCATCAACCAACTCTTTCCTTACATAGTTGTTTGACTTAATTGGGCTTCATTAGCCTTAATGGTACAGTACTTTCAGTTATATTTGTGTGAAGATTGTAAAATTTTGGAAAATGAGGGCATATGTTTTTAGATGCACAAATTGGTCTTAGCTTCCATATGGTTTGTTATACCTGCACAATGTTTGGTTTTTTACTTATGAACTTTATACAATGATTTTCATAACTTGCAGTTCCTGTGAATAGAATTCAAAATTATGAGAAACTTGCTCAGTTTAGATTGATGTGCCTTGCTGAACATGCAGTATTTGAACAAATTTGCTCATTTCAATCTGCTGTAAAAGTAATTTGTCTAAAAATTATCCTCATATAAACAAACATGCTAGTCCCCACTTACTTCCACTCAGGTTTACAGATTAGAGTCACCCACAGTGGGAAAACATTCACATAGTTCTGTCATTCTTATAGTTTCCATGGAAGTTTATAAATTTCAAGAGAATATTGAAAGGATAATTATCCCACTATCTGTTCAGCCTTCCCTTTACTTTTCATAATTTTTATTCATATTGTGTCTTTAAAATCACAATATTGTTAAAGGAAAGGATAATAACTGATAATGTATTTTATCTTCCAATAGGCACTTCAGAAAGTCCGAAGAAGCAAGATGAGTATGAGTGCAGTGGGGAGTGTCAAAAATGTGCCATATTTGGATCAGTTGTAAAAATAAAAATTTACCTGCTCACAGGTGTAATAACTCGAAATTGTTATATAATTACTAAGTTGGTTCCACCTGTAGCCTACAAAGTGTAGCAGAAGAAACCACTTATCACCTAAAACTTGAAAGTGGACCAAACTTATTTTATTGTGTGTTAGTATTTGGCAATAATTATCTACTGATTTCATAAAATTATATGTTTTAAACTTTAATTATAAAATCTAAATTTTGTAGACTCCTGTAGTTAATAATGGCATAAAGTGAGGACCAGTATATCCAGCACTGAAGTGAACTTGTTTATGGTTGTCTGCTTCAAGTGAATGCAGTTTAATGTACATAGATGACTGAAAGGTTGTCCAAAATTATCATGTTGTAGATATTTAAAATATTAATTGTAAAGGTAAAATGTGTTCTATTCCTCTGGAATAAATTGTACTGAAAATTTTGTAATTTTCCTTCCCTGCTTCTACCATTGGTAACCAGCGGCCAGGGCGTATATAAAGAAGCAGTAGGTATATCACAGTGTCGTCGAATTAGTGATATCCCCCTTTAGCTGAAACAAATGGTGCAGAGCACTTCCAGGGAGGAGAGATTTCTGTTTAACCAGACGACTTTCTTAAACCCGGAAAAATTCCTTATCCTTGGAATCTTTTTCCGGTTACTAGGAAAAATTTCCGAGTGTTTAACTAGACATCTTGCACCGACAGACACTAGCCCACTTTCCCTGAATGTTGCTGGGGATGTTTTCCTTGAGTTTAAGTTAGAAACTCCATTTCTTTACGATTATAATTCAGAATAGTTTATCTGAAAGTTTGGTTAAATAAATATATTTCAAAATTTAAAATCTATATGACATGGGCATGAATGAAGCTCTGAGTTATGCAAAGACTGGTATTTTCCACTCCCATGGAGCTGTGGGTAATTAGTGGGTCTCCTGTGATTGATAGGGTGGGGGATTAGTGGTCTCATATTACTAACCTGATGTAATGTTAGGTCACCCTTTCTTGGGTGGGGGATTAGTGGGTCTCAGGACCTGCAAATATCTTGAATAAACATGAAACCTAAAATATTTTTAGGGAGGTTTTGATAAGTTTAAGTTTAAATGAGCAGAGTTGTATCCTTCAACATTGTTGCATTTCATTATAAAATTTGGAATGAGAAAGCAGAGATGGAGTGGAAATGAGCGTTGCAAAGCGTTCCTCAACAGCTGATATTAACTCGTTACCACAGTCACACACGCAAATTTGTCACACAATAAGACCCTCATTGCTCATGCTTGCTGTCTTAATAACCTTGTGGGTGGTTGTTGATTTTGATTTTTTATTTTGCCACTTACAGCGGCTACTTTATTGTGCACCCCACACTCAAACTGTGAGCGGTAGCGCAAAAGGATTACAGAGTAGAGTTTACAACAGGTCATAATAATTAACCCCTGTTGTCAGGATATTATGTCACTGAATGTTACACAGTATTTCAATAACATTATTTGTTAAGTTCTATACATAAAGGGTAACTCATTCACAAATGCGTGAGTACAGGCGTGTGAGGCAGTATGCCTGGCTGCACACTTTGTTGTTCACATTTGCGTGTGAAGTATTCAAGCACATTGTGTATTTGGTTCTATACATGAGAACTGATATAGTTACTAAGTGCAAAAAAGTGGATACAATCTTAATGTCGGTTATCTTGCCATTAGAGATGAAGTGTTGTGCCATTTCACACACACTGTGATTGGACCTGTCCCTAAAAGGTTCTATCTTCACACAGTCGAGGACGTAGTGTTCAAGTGTGTGGCCATATGTCTGGCCACACACTACATTTAGCCTTGTTTACATCTGTTTGAGGAACATACTGCCAGAGGTACTTATATTCTAACCTTAATCTAGCAGTTACAACATCTTGTAAGCTAGTGATCTTGTTACTTGCTCCATATACATGTTTCACTTGATACATCTCATCATGGTAAACTATGCATCGACTAGTGCCTGTTTGCACTTGTCTACTTGCATCAAATTCATCAATAAGTTCTTTCCTAATTACAGTTTTAAGGGTTCTTTTTGACAGACCCAAATTGTATTCAACGATGTCTTTGTTACATGGGAGTTTGGCGAGGGCATCAACTCTGTCATGTTTTATGAGGCCTATGTGAGAGGGGATCCACAACGGTTTGACCTTGACACACCGGTCAACAATGCACGCATTTTTGTGTCTGGCTTCAGAGACGAGCGTAACAACTTGAGTTGAGGGTGTCAAGGGCAAGTAGTGAGGATAGAGAGTCAGTGATAATGAGACTGTCAGTGACTGGTTTCAATGAATTTAATAGCTGTGAGTATGGCAACTAATTCAGTTTGTAGAGTGCATGCCCAGCTGTTAATTCTAAGTCCTTTCTCAATTATATTACCGTTAGGTTGAATCACAACAATAGCACTTCCAGCCCTCCCACAGGCAGTGTTAAGAGATTCATCAGTGTAGATGGTCTGTGTGATATCATCAGTCCGTAGAGTGTGTATGTGTTCAAGAGCTCTCACTTTGGCAGTGTGCGGGAACGCGGGGTGGCGCGGGTGATGTGTGTGTGGTGTGCAGTGTGGTGTCGCTTGCGATTTGAATAATGTATATTCCTTTGACTGTATATTCCTCCAGAGGCAATCCGTGTAAGTTAAACCCGCGTATATTAAGGGCCGACTGTATAAGAATATCATCAGCATAGCTGATTGATATTGCTGGGGTTGTCTGGTATTAAATTTAATAATGCATTATAAGAACATTGAACAAAGTGGGGCTAAGTACTCCAACTTGAGGGGTACCAAGTTGCATATCTTTAATTTCACTTTTGTAACCCTGAAACAGTGCAGTAGCCCTACTGTTGGTTAGGTAACCACTTATCCAGTGTAACAGCCTACCTCCTATATCCATTTTGGCTAGTTCGTACAATATCAGTTGTCTATTGGCAATATCAAATGCAGTTTTTAGGTCAAGAAAGGTGGTGTATCTGTGCCTTTCATCACCGTGCACAGTTAGGAATGTGGTGATGCAATTATGTACACCTTTACCATGGGTGAAGCCATTTATGTTAGGAGACATGTGTTCTCTGATTCTATATAAGAGTCTGCCAAGAACCATCCTCTCAAAGGTTTTACACAGGCAGCTGGTTAGTGATATGGGACGAAAAGCATCAGGCTGTCCTGGTTACGGTGTTGGTACAACAATACTGCTGGTCCATGATGTGGGTAGATGGCCCTCGGCATGACTCATATTGTACAATACCAATAATGGATTGCCTGGCACACACCTTAGTAGTCTAACGATGTTGTAGGTGACTCCGTCCTCTCCAGGGGAAGTAGACCTACCCCTGGTGAGGGCAGCATTGAGCTCAGTATATGGAACATCACACTCATCGTGCTGTTTGCCCAGCATAAAGTTGATAAGATCACTTCTCTCTACAGACTTTGCATCAAGGAGTCCCTGAGTCCTAGTTGGTAACATGTCATAGCTAGACACATGAGCCCACTTTGTTATTAGCTCATTCGACTTTTGCAGAGGGTTTGGATGGGAGACGTGTCTACTGTTTTTACCTCTGATTGTGTTTGTCTTTCCAGGCTTTGCTGAGGGATGTGTGTGGTTCAGGCTGTTGACATATGTCTCCCATGCATTTTGTCTGAGTTCGTTTACACGTTCCCTGACAGCAGCAAGGGAAGCTTGATACAATTGTAACATTTGAGATGTTCTAATTTGTTTGTAACCCTTACCCACCCTCCTGACTCTAGCCCCGAGTTTTTCAGTTTAGGGTCATCATAGCACTGCTGTTGCCTGTTCTCATTATGCTGACCATGTTTTCTCTTTTTTTTGGTGGAGGCATTGTTGGTGAAGTATATATAAGTCCTATCTATCAGATCGTCATGGAAACTTTAGTAGTTGTCAGGCTTGTAGTCCTTGTACCAGTCATGGATGAAGTCTATGAACTGGCTTTCATGTTCTTGCTTGACTGATTTTATGTCTGTTGAGTTTACCACCAGTAGGGGTGTCATTGGCTACATGTATACTAACTTGGATTGGGCTGTGGTCAGACAAGATCAGTGACAACATCAGAGCTATGAGTTGTGTGTGATAGATTAAAACCAATACACTTGTCTAGAGCCCTGCCATAGCTGTGTGTTGGTTCATTATTACCTATAATTTGAACATATTCATATGCGCTGAGAAGTGAGATAAGTTTCCTACCATTGGTGTTAGTGGTGGAGTCACCTAATTTCTTGTGTCTAGTATTCAGGTCACCCATCAGAACAGTGGGCTCAGTGTGTAAAAAGTCTGGGAGATCTGTGTACTGAAGCTGATCTGAGGGAGCATAGGCGTTTAGCACGTTGAGTGTGGAGTTGCCCAGGTGGATAGTGATCCCATGGTACTGAAGGTTGGTAGTCTTTTTGGATACAAGAGGTACATGTGGGAGTGACTTCTTAACATACATCAAACATGTGTGAGTAGAACTAGGATCATAATACACATAATTGGGCAGACTGAGTGGGGGCTTACCATTAGGTGTGAGACACTCCTACAGACACACAATATCGATGTCCTCAGTCACAACTTTGTGGTGTAGGTCAGTGTATCGTTTTCTAAGGGATGAGATGTTCCAACTCATCACCTTCACCGCTCTGTATCTTTGTCTGGTATTAACACTGGCCATTATGAACTGTATTCTTTTCTATGCTGCCTGTCCCTTCGGCAGGCAGTAGGCCATTTAACCTTTTTTAAAAATTTCTGGAGCATGTACTGCTCAACAATTGCTGTATTTCAGTGGCAGACAACAACACACTGGTTACACTCGACATCACCACCATTTTCTGTTTGTGTTTGTTCATCTTCACTGACCATGTCCACAGAGGCATCAGTAGAACTGTTACCAGTATCACTATTTTCCTCGGCGTGGACACTAGTTCCTGGTGGGTCTTGAGTTTCCACATCTGGTACTGACATCTGAATGTCTTCAGTTTGACTGTAATCTTTCCATAGCTGCTGCACTGTGTTGGTGGTGTTCTTTTTCTGTAGTGTATCACAGAGGCTCTTTAACATATCAGTTTGAGCTGTAAATTGAGCTTTGAGTTCTTTAATTTCATTTTTCAAATCATTGATCTCTTCACTTTGTGTGTGTTCATGGGGTGTGTTGGCAGCTACCTGTTGTGTCGGTACGTCTGTGTTGCCCCATGCTGATCTTTCGATGACTGCTGGTGATGATCCTGGAGCTTTGATGTGGAGGATGGGCCAGGGGTTGGTCGTAGGGAGTACCCTAGCAGCAGTAGTGTTTCTTGAGACCAGCCTGGGTGGCGGGTCTGGGTGCTGAAGGGGCATACGAGCTCTAGGACAGTCAGGGTGCCATACAGGAACTCCAACTGTTTTACAGTTAATACACTTCTGTTGAATGACACCCCTTTGAGCAACTGTA